CTCGGACCCAGTTCCACACGAAAAAAGTTTGTCCAATTTGTTTATTTAGATTTCTTAACCGCCCTTCCCCACCTACGCGGGACTCAGGGCGGTTTACAAGCAACATAAAATCGAATACAATTTAAAAACCAGTTAAAACTACAAAATTGAGTATGAAAACATTCAGCAGAAATATTTAAACAGATGGCATATTTAGCATTCAGATTTTCCGGGGGGGGGGGGGGGGGGGGGGAGCAGGTTTAAGAGGGGGGGGGGGTGCCGGGCAGATATAAAGGAACCGTCGCTGGCCTCATCCGCAGGCCTGGCGGAACATCTCTGCTTTACGTGCCCCTCGGAACTTTCATAGGTCAGGCAGGACACGGATGCCGTTCGGCGGAGAGTTCCACCAGGCTGGGGCCAAGGCTGAGAAGGCCCCGCCTCCGGCCGAGGCCAGCCGGATATCTTTGGAGCCGGGAATCACCAGGAGGTTCTTATCTGCCGATCCCAGTGCCCTTACACGTTTTTCTTTCCTAGCGTAACGTCTCTTCGGTACGATGTGCCTAGGCTGAGAATACAGGTGGTACATTTAATAAATACTCTGGTTCCAGGGTAAAGAAGTGATCGAGCATTATCTGAAAGAGCTGATTTCCCAGGGTATCACGTTCATCCCCCGGTGGACTCCTCCAGCGGTCCGCAAGCAGGTGGCCAGCAAGGCTCCGTCGCAGCACGAAAGCAGCAAAGCACCGGCCGAACCCCATGCGCAGGGAAGCGACAGAGAGAGCAGCGGCACCTGCCCTTCCATAGAGGCATCGACCCCTGACGGTATGCGGCTGGCCGGTCCTCGGTGCCTTGCTGGGACGTGCTCAGCGTTTGTCTGGCTCAAACCTGGAACAGATGGCACGGCTCACCGTCCTTCCTTTGCTTTCTTGATCTGTGGTTTGCAGATCGTTTGGGCAGCAGGGGTGGGGGTGGGGAGCCTGGTTTTCTCTGTGGCACCTCTGCCGACTGGCAGCTGCAAGGCCCGAGGCATCCCGTCCCCGCGCTAGCGCACCGTCAACTTGTGTTTGGGGAACAAAAATGTCTCCTCGCTGCTTCTCCCGGAGCCAGCCCAGGAAACCCCGTCCCTTCGCTCTCCCCTCCCGCTTGTTTGTTTTCCTCTTTTGTTCCCCGATGGCCTCCGGCGCAGCTGCCGTCCTGTGACACGGCTCTCCTGGTACAGAATTCCCTTTCCGGGCGAGCGGGCGGATGGCTGCTCTCGCCTGCAGGTGCCCATCTGCCTTCCTAGCGGCCCTGGGGAGAGCCCTTCCTGCCGGTTTATTTTAAGCATTTCCACCATGTCCCCAAAACCAATAGCTTCTTTGGGGTGGCTCACAGAAGTTGGGAGCGGGGGGGGGGGACCATCCTTATGTTTTTGCCTTGTTGCAGAGGGGGCCAACGGCGGCACTGCCGCATTTGTCCTCATCGCGAAAGGTTAACGTCCAGCCTTTGCAGTGCTTGGTGGAATGCTATATTTTTTTCGTTGTGGAAAATTATGTCAACGGTCGCCCTGTGATAAAAGCGAGTGCCAAGGGGCGACGGTGACCCTCTCCGACAGGGGGATTGCCGACCCCACTTTTACTTATTTGAAATATTTTCTGTTTATTATTTGGGCTTGAATAAATACGCTGTCCAGAGGTCTCAGGGCGGACAAGGGCAACTTAGTTGTATGTACAGGTCTCTCTTAGAGCCCCCCGCCCCGCTCCCGGCTCATAAATGGACTAAGGAGTGAGGAGGAGAAGGAGGGGAGAAACGGGATTTTAAAATACTGAATTCAATGAAGGAATGGAATGGAGGACTGATTGTTCCACAAGCACGGGAGAGGGCAGTGGCAGAAGGTGCAGCTATCCACTGATAGTCGGGGAGGGGCTGTGGCTCAGTGGCAGAGCCTCTGCTTGGCACGCGGGAGGTCCCAGGTTCAATCCCTGGCATCTCCAGTTAAAAGGACCAGGCAGCAAGTGATGTGAAAGACCTCTACCTGAGACCTTGGAGAGTTGTAAAGAGGGGCTGTGGCTCAGTGGAAGAACATCTGCTTGGTGTGCAGAAGGTCCCAGGTTCAATCCCCGGCATCTCCAGCTAAAAGGATCAGGCAGCAGGGGATGGGAAAGACTGAGACCCTGGAGAGCCGCCGCCAGTCTGAGTAAACCATACTGACCAATGGTGATTCAGTACCAGACTGCTTTGTGCATTTTTCCATGTGTGCAGCGGGGGTGTCTTGGCCAGCATCCCTCTCTGACCCCCCTGAGGCACTGCTGTGTCTGAACTCACAAAGTAACTGCTGGCCATTCTAGGAAGAGGTAAAGGTAAAGGTTTCCCTCGCTCGAAAGCCAGTCGAATCCGACTCTAGGGGGCGGTGCTCATCTCCGTTTCCAAGCCGAAGAGCCAGCGGTGTCCGAAGACATTTCCGTGGTCATGTGGCCGGCATGACTAGACACCAAGACGCATGGAATGCTGTTACCATCCCACCAAAGCAGTACCTATTCATCTACTTGCAATCTCTTGCTTTCGAACTACTAGGTTGGCAGGAGCTGGGACCAGAAACGGGAGCTCACCCCATCACGCGGCACTCGGGTCTTGAACTGCTGAATCACCGACATTCCGGCCAGCAGTTCAGCATGATTACCACTGAGCCACCGCCCCCACAAATATCGGGTTTTTTAAAAAAACCCAAAATAAGGCTGCAACTATTTTGCAAAGTCACTATCGGAACCAATAATAAGTAACAGGAGTGTGTTGATAATCCGGTTGACTAGCTTCCCTCTGGTGTTGTTTTCTCCCCCCCCCCATCCCCCTCAAGCTGACAAACTGGATGCCGATTACATCGAAAGGTACCTGGGGCAGTTGACTCCCATGCAAGAAAGCTGCCTCATCCGACTCCGCCAGTGGCTGCAAGAAACGCACAAAGGCAAGGTAAACGGCTGCGGGGGGAAAGCCTCCGTTCGGAGCCAGGGAACAGTGAGGGGGCTTCTAACAGTGCTGCGGCCTTCGCTGCTTGCTTATGTAACCCCCCCCCCCCCCCATCAGTTACGATGTATTTAAGGTAACACACCTCACCTTTCCTCTTCACCATTTGCTGACAGGCCCAGGAATTTTATCATGCATTTTGAGCCATTTTCCCAGTAACCAGCCTTGGTCGTGTTCGCGTGGGGATACCTTTGACACTTATAAACAGGTTTCGTTGCCGTTTGTCTTTCCCCCCCTGTCCCAGATTCCCAAAGACGAGCACATCCTCCGCTTCCTGAGGGCCCGCGACTTCAACATCGACAAGGCCCACGAGATGCTCTGCCAGTCGCTGACCTGGCGCAAGCAATACCAGGTGGACTATATCTTGCAGACGTGGAGACCGCCCTCTCTTCTGGAAGAGTACTACACCGGAGGCTGGCACTACCAGGACAGAGGTGGGGGGGAGCTTGCTGTAGGGCTGCCCTTGGCACTGTCGCCAGTGACGTGTGGGGGAAGCGGCTTGGCCCGTCAGCCGTTTGTCACGCCGTCGCCCAAGAATACCTCAGAGGTCTGGTTCTGAAGAGATACCTAGGAAAGCAGAAGTCTTACAATGGGAGGGGTAGTTCTTAAATTCTCGGGAGCTTTGTGACTGCCGTAGCTGGGCAGACGATGTCAAACGGGTGCTGGTTTCTTGTCACATTCGTTTCCCTAGATTTGAGTCCAGTAGCATCTCAGAGACCAAGATGATTCTGGGGGTATGAGCTTTTGGGAGTCAAAGCTTTGCCTTTTGAAAGCTCATCCCAGCAAAAACTGGTTGGTGTAGTGGTTTGGTATAGTGGTTAGGAGTAGGGATGTGCAAAAAAAAAAAAATTCGGTAAAATTCGGATTCGGGTTTATTGGACCCGAATTTTTTCGGGAAACCCGAAAAAACCCGAATATCTATACCGGTAAAGCATAG